TACTGGTGATGCTGGTATATATCTGGAGAAGAGCAAACGGATAACGATAACTGAAGGCACTATTATGTAAATATTTCATAACATAAAACCCAAAGAAAAGTATTATCACCAAATCTGTAATGTGTATTAATGTTTTACATATTTAAAAATCCAGGATTCATAATTAATTGTGTAAACGTTCTCTGGTTAAAAAGATTTATTTATACTTATTTATTTATTTAGTAATAAATAAATCTTTTTAACCAGAGGACGTTTACACAATTAGTTTTACATATTGCCCACTTTGAGATCCCTTGACTGAAATGTAAATCAGGCTTTAAATTCCCAGCAATTCCTAGCTTATGAGGGGTTGGGAGAGGGGGTACACTGACTGATGCATAATTCTGTTCATACTTATTATATTTCAACAATATATACAACAACCCTCTTACCTATTTACAATATTTACAAACAATGAAAATATACAGTAAACAGATCAAGTCTGTGGAGCCATAGGCGTACCGGAAGGAAAAATTTAGGGGGGCGGAAAAAAAATTGCCCGACTTTTCGTGATTGTGCCCAACTAGTACTGAAAAAATTTTTCCGGAAAAATTCTTTTGGCGACCTCCCCCCCCGTCGCCAAAAAAATTTCGGTCAGTGTACCATTTTAGGGGTCAAAAAAATTTTCCGGACACCCAAAATTTTTCCGAACATAACACAAATTTTCCAAAAACACAAAATTTGCCACAAATTTCACTTAATTTTAGACAAAATTTACAGAATTTGTCCCATTTTTTTTATTGCAAACCAAAATTGCCCGACTGTTGATTGAATTTTCCCGACTGCCCAACAAACTGGGGGGGCTACGCCCCCCCCCCCGCCCGGTACGCCTATGCGTGGACAATGTGATCGCAGGTGACCTTTATTGGTGCCTTGCACTTGCTACATTGTCTGACTTTTCTCTTTGGCAGTGGGAGATTTCCTGTTGATTTCCGCTTTTCTGCCTCCAATAATGCTGTTTTTTCTGCAACTAAAAATAATTCATCAAATTATTATATAAGTTATATCAAAAGAATAATAATGTAATTTGTTGTCTGCTTTGTATATGATAATATTTGTGTTGGTGTTAACAATTGTTCGCCAAAGGTGAGGTGATTATCGGGGAATATTCGCAGAGACAAAGTTGAGGTGAATATTTCCCGACAATCACTGAGTCTGAGGCTTGTCAATGGAAAAGCTCAACAGCTTAATGGGTTAAAAAAATTTTTACCGAGACTTTTCTGCATCTGAAGACGTGTTTACACTACGAGCCTAAGCCTGGCCTAGGTTTGTACTAGATTTTGGTAGTGTCAACTTCGACTGCCACTAGACCACTAGACCATGCACTTCGACCGCCACTAGACCAAGAAATCTGCGCCACCTTTCCTGATGGGCCCAGATTTCCTGGCCTAGGCCAGGCCGAAGCGCATTTACACCACAAAAATCTAGTCCAAAGGTACGCCAGGCTTAGGCTCGTAGTGTAAACACAGCTAAACGAAAATAAGGCTCTGCTCGCAGGGTAAAACACAGCTTGAGAATTACCTAACTGGCGCCCAACATGGTGTGTTTACACCAGATACTGTACCTGGCTAAAGCCCTGAGACCAATAAAAATAGATCATTACATACACATAACATGAAGTAGTGACTTTGAAGAAGTAAATAAACATAGAAATTGGCTTCAATTGACCTGTATTTAAACTATTAACCACTTGAAGGCAAACTCAATTCAACAACACATTCCAAATACTTTTATGTCTTTCATATTGACATCTACATATTAAACTATGAAAATGTAGCATGAGAGCCTTGCCTTACAAAGCTTTTATTTCATGTTGTTCACTTGCCTTTGGTGGCGAATTATTAAATGTCCGAGTGTCAATTCCAAATTTATAGCAACAAATATTACTATTATACATAGTGTAAACGGGTCTTTATAGAGTTATCTGGTTTTTGCCGTGAAAAGTATTGAATATTTAGATTATGTCAAGGATGAATATGTAACAGCTTCAAAATGCCGCAAACGAACAATTTATGCATATGAATTTTTTTTTTCTGTGTTGGTGTAGTGTACTCAGGTGAATATGATATTTGTGGTGTTACTCTGAGTCGTAGGTTCGAATCCCACCGTGTTACTCTGAGTTCGTAGGTTCGAATCCCACCGTGGCCGGGCATATTTTTCAAGCTCGCCCGGTGTGGATATATACTCAGAGTAACACCACAAATATTATAATTTATGCATATATTTACCTGTCTTCTTTCACGAGCTGAAATCGCCCGAACCTGTGGCCCTGAAACAACGCAATCTAGACTAGGTATCGTGCCTTTCTTCAGCCATCTCTTAGTCGTGAATTTGTCCGGTTCTTGTGGATTAAAATCAAGCCGTTGTTCAAAATCTGTGACCTTGAAACGTGCTGAGCAAAGCACCGAACTGCTAGATGGCTGCCATTGCGGACGATGTCTTTGGACAATACAAGCCCATTTTGCTCGGACAGAACTATCGCTAGGGAAGCGATGCATCGAAATTCCTTGTGTTTTCGAATTGTTTTTGTAACTGACTTTTCCAGGTCCGCCTGCAACACAATACTTTCCAAGAGATTTCCCTTTCGCTCGGCTGTTTTGAGTCTCGGCCATAACAAATTGACAAATAATCACCTTTGGAATGAACGCGCGAGTACAACCAGGGACGTCACGCCATCAATTTGACCGCGCCGTGAGATGGGACAAACAAAGGTCATAGATGGCAAACTTTGCGGCTTAAAAAGTCGACTTTAAAGAATCGCGGAGCGAAAATAAAATACAGCATGATATTCAGCGTACTTTAAACTATAATATCGGCACAATTTCAGAAAAAAATTTCAGCCGTTTCATAAACACTTTAACTAAATTTAAATTTAGCTAAATATAGTCAAGTCACGAAAGAGGAAAATATCATGTATACAATACGCGTCTGTAATAGCTTTCATTTGGTCAACATATAATCAACAATTGCGTAACTATTGTACTGTTGAACACGGCGTTTTATACACTGAACTCTACGCCTAAACTTCATATAATGGAGTGGTCTCAACTACAGACCACTACGCCTGGCACTCTGAATTGTATTGAAATGAAAGATTAAGTCTAAATATTGTTAAAACGGATCGGAGTTTATGGTAATAGGATCTCAGCAAAAATTAAGGTCCATAGATAGCGAAATAAATATTAGAAACAACGAAAACGAAATAACTAGGGTTGAATCGGTGAAATCCTTGGGAGTTTATATTGATAAACATCTTACTTGGCATGATCATATTGATAAACTATGTAAGAAAGTTGCATCTGCTATTGGTGCACTAAAGCGTGTTAGATCGTTTATAACTATCGACGCATCCATACAAATATACCAAGCGCTCATTCAGCCTCATTTCGACTATTGCTGCACGGTATGGGATGGCCTTGGGGAAACACTCCGTACTAAATTACAAAAATTGAAAAACCGAGCAGCGGGAGTTATCATGAGATCAAGTTATGATACCGACGCAAGTGTATTATTAGATAGTCTGCGTTGGGATAACTTGTCATTAAGACGACAAAAACTTAAACTTGGTCTTATGTTTAAAACACTTAAGAGTACGTAATGTTCCCAGTTATTTACAAGAATTCTTTTCCATTCGCGGAACTGGGTATAACCTAAGAATTTCTGAAATGAGGCTGAATTTGCCTAAGCCACGAACAAATTACTTAAAACGAAGCTTTTGTTATAGTGGTGCACTATTGTGGAATAGCCTTCCTCAAGAAATAGGAAAGCTTCAAACACAGGCTAAATTTTAAAAAGCTGTTAATAAGTATTTCGACGAATAATAAACGAACCCCCACACGGCAATCTTGTAAACCAGTATTAGTATTAGTATCAGTATTAGTTTATTGTCTTTCTTGTAACTACTGTAGATATTAACGTGTTTAAATAAATTGTGTAATAATAAAATAATAATAATAATAATAATTCAGTACGCTATGCCTATGGTATTAATATAGCATTTTATAATATAGTGTATGCGGCCAAATATCTACATAAACAGTGTGAATCTATTAAATTGGTACATTATATCATTTTTTAAATTCCATATAAGCGCTCGTGATTCAATACATAAAGCAGATGAACTGGCAGTAAATATTACGTTCTTACTTTTAATATATCAATACGACAATCTTCACAAATGATAGTATGTTTGCAATTGTATTCCCCATTATATTGTATTATAAAAATACACAATCGTCAATTGAGTCTGTTCACATGCATTTCGTGAGCTAAAATATCTTAGCAAACCCCAGAAATTATATTAAAATTACATTGGGCTTCCACACTCGTTGATTTCCATATTCATAACTTGAGTAATCTCGACTTGCAGAATTAGTAAAAATGTGGTAGATTTTCGTTCGATCCCCACAATAAGAGCAAAATTACGCGTTTATCTTGTGTTTTGTATTATAATCCCTTCCCAAATCGCTCCCAGTTACATATATTCCCATGCAATAACAATTAACAACATTCCTTTTATCTCATGCCTGTCAATCAATTCCATATATGGCAGTCACCTCATCTCTAAATTTAACTACTAATTATTAATGTCAACTTTTTCCCCGACACACTCCCCCTATTTAGAACGTAAGTTTTAAATATAACTTATCTGTCTTATATACACACGAACGTCTACACGTATTCACCGTCTCTACCCATCACAGTTCTTCTTCTTCCTGATCATAAATTAGGTCAATGTTCTTCCTTGCATCGACGGTTTGAACTCCTTTGCAACAGGATTCAATGGAACAGTTTCTTGATTACTTTCTCTATCACAATGCAATTCCAAAGGGTAAAGAAATTGTATTGGTCTTTCCATGAATGATTTTCCTGCACGTAGTCTAACTCCACGAACCACTCAGTCTCTTCCAGGTACAAGTTGTTCAACAATCCCAATTTTCCAAAGTCTACGATTCTTTTCATCACCTTTGATTAACATAACATCACCCCTTCGTAGCTTTCTCTCTTTCCCGTCATGTGTTAAATCATGCCTTTCGCGAAGTGCTCTCATGTATTCTCGTTTCCATCGTTGCCATAACGCGTCCTTACATTTCTTCAAATATCTCGCCCTCTTTCGCAGGTCTCGTTCTTCTATATCCTCAGGTGATAACTCCATAAGATAATTGGCTTTACCGAAGATCATCATGTTCGGCGTCAACACAGGAAGTTGAATGTCATCCTCGCAGTACGATAGTGGTCGATTGTTCAACACGAGCTGGATATCTAGCATCACGTCTTGCAATTCTTTGAAAAGTTTGGCCGATCCTACGACCTCGTAAAGAGCTTGTTTCACTATGCTGACCATTCGTTCGAACATTCCACCCCACCAGCTAGCTTTGCTTAGATTGAACTGCCATTTCACACCATGTTCACTCAGATAGCCTTGTAACTTTTCGTTCAGTACGACTTTCTTGATCCATTTGGCAGCAGCCACGAAAGTCTTTCCATTATCGGATATGATCTTCTTCGGACGACCTCTTGCTGCGATAAATCTTTTAAAACTCATCAGGAACTCTTCACAGCTCATGTTTGGCAGAATCTCCAAGTGAAGTCCTCTAGTTAAACTGCAGGTATAGATGAGTATATACGACTTACGCTCAGCTCCCCCATTTCCCTTGTAATAGATTGGTCCGGCATAATCGACACCAGTTACTTCGAAGGGGATTTCACCTTCAGTTCGTTCTTTTGGAAGATTCACCTGAGGTGGAGCGGGCATCGGCGTTGTGTAAAATCGTTTACACCCATAGCATTTACCAATGACTTTCTTCACTACACTTCGCAATGCAGGGATCCAATAATCGTCGCGTACTTTGCTCATGGTTAACCCAACCCCGCCGTGCAGAGTGTAAAGATGTGCACGTTCGACAATCTTCAGAGATAGGAGGTGATTTGATGGCAAGTAAATTGGATAAAACCCTTGAATTCTCCCCTTACACACGTAAATGCCTTCTTCATTTTTTTGGAGATTCAATCGTTGAGAATGTTCTTTGAACTGAACAGAATTTTCACCGTCCTCTTGAGCTCGTTTAATCAGAAATTTCAATTGTTCCTCAGTCTCTTCAGTCGTTAGTGGTCCGCTAATTCTTATACTTCTTCGACAATTGACAGCAAATCTTTTGATCCATGCCAAAATCCGCACAGTTTTCCATAGGGTTGTTTTCGCTAAAAGGTCGTCAAAGACATCTGATTTTCGTTGAACAGCAGCTTTCATCACGATCTTGATTGTGCGACTTTCGGACTCCGACACATCAGAAGGTTTAGCAACAATCTGTTCCGGCCAGCTGTCGGAATTGTTCAGCCATGAAGGACCGCTCATCCACATTTCGTTAGTTTCTAAGTCACTTGATCCCCGACTACCGATATCCGCAGGATTC